TTTCGTAACTTTTGAGTGTTGCGGTTTATATTTATTTTAAAAAACATACTTATTTTTATTTTTTTTTAAAATAATTCCACTATTGTACAAGCAAAAGATTACATATTGGTGATTTATTTTAGTATTTTGTTATTCCTCCCTTTGCACTTATTACCGCTTCTACACGTCTTGGCATACTTTCTATCCATTTTATTGCATTATTTTGAATATCTATGTTATTGTGCCAGACTTTGATCATCTTTACAATTAATTGTATTTTGTTGGTGATTACTTCAGAAGCAATTTCCCTTTTCATGATATCCCACAGATTTTCAATAGGATTTAAATCTGGTGAGTTTCCAGGCCATGATAGCCCTGGAATTTTCTTTGCATTTAGGTACTCTGTAACCTTCTTTGCTTTATGGCATGGGGCAGAATCATGCATAAATGTAAATTTTTGGTTCTTTGGGAACCATTCCTTCAACTGTTGTACCAATCTTGTGTCAAGAACTTTTATGTATTTGTCCTGGCGCATAGTTCCCTCAACGATATATAAGCGCCCTGTTCCATGTCCACTAATGACAGGCCATACCATTATACTTAGAGGATGCTCTACACGTTCTAAGATGCAGTCTTTGTGGAATTTTTCTCCAGCTCGTCTACGCACAAACTGTGATTTGTTCATCAATATCTGGATTGTCGATTCATCCGAGAAACATACCTAAACAACGTCAAAAAAACTTATAAGTCAAAGTTTTAATGTAGGCAAATCTCTAAATGGAATGTGTACAGTTATAAATGAAGGACTTACATTTTTCCAGTCATCGACGGTCAAATGCCGATGACTTTTAGCCCAAGCAAGGCGTTTTTGTTGCATTGCTAGAGTAAGCTTAGGCTTTTTAGCAGGTCGACAGCATCGAAATCCTTGTTCTTTGAGTCGGCGACGAACTGTCATTGGAGATACTGGTATTCCAGCATCTTGTATTAAAGTGGTTAGTATTCGCCTAGGCTTATTCCTATTTTCTAGGCAAATATCTCGTATTTTTCTATCGTCTCTTGGCGTTGTTAGCCGTTTACTACCACAATGTCCTGTTCGTTGAGGAGTATAATCTGCATTTTTGTCCAGATTTTTTTTTTATTCTGTTGACTGTTGCCACTGAAACCTTTGTCATTGATGCTATACACTTTTGAGAATAAGAAGTATTCTTCAATAATGCTCCAACTTCTCTTTTTTTTGAGGGTGAAACATCTTTTGCCTTTCCCATATTGAAAAAAACACGTGATTCTAGTAAACCGTTA